TATTTCCCCGGGTATTGCAGCTGGTCGCTACAGAGTAATTAAAAATTTCTTTAATGGAAGGTATGGCAAAAAATGAGGGAAAGTTGTGACGATTTAATTGGAACACAGAAAATACGTGTACACGTGAATTTTGTAAATGTAAAACTTACTTGAGGGTTGACAAATTTTTGTCGTTTGACTTGTCGACTAGTTTCTTTCGTGAAAAATGAGAAATGATTGATTCGGCGAGTTCTATTACGTAGATATAAAAGGTTAGCGGTGAGAGGAACGTTTGTTGATCCTCCGAATTGGCTGAAACGTATCTTTCGTTTTAACTGCTCGAATGGTAGACGGTAAATTCGAAAAATGAACTGCCATTGTTACTAGCGCACCGTTTAAAAGTCTCTAACGATTTATGATATATGCCTGCAGAAATCCGGAACGGTATAAATTGCGCCCGAATCGCCGGACGTAGCTGCTGTCTTCTCGCGGTACACTTGGCTTAAAAAAGAATAGTTATGTTACTGGCATAATCCGACAGTTACGCTTGGTACAAGTGTGGATGTTTCATTTCTGTGCTTAGCATGCAAATTTCTTTTTACGCTACTCTATTTCTAACGAGGGTAGATTTTCCTGCTTTTTTGGAAATTTTGCAAGTTTGGAGAGGAGCTCGGTAGAAGTTCTCTTTGCTACTTTTTGCTTCTTCAGAATGAAAACAATCTTTAAATGTTAATGTACCTTTTCACATCTTCCTGTGTATATGTTAAAAACTACAGTAGGTCTGAAAACACTGTTAAAATGAAAATTGAACGAATTTTTGTGCTCTGTAAAAGTAAGTATAAGAATTCAGTTGAGTAACTTAGTATTTAGTACTTTTTCCTGCAGTCGAATATTTTATTTGATAATAAAAGACATGTATAGCCTTTGAAACAAATTTAAATCATTTATATTTGCAATTTAATAATATGAAAAACTCAGGAAGATTTTGCAAACTATAGTAGGTATAAGAACATTGTTAAAATGAAAATTGAACGAATTTTGGTGCTCTATGAAACTAAATATAAGAATTCAGTTGAGTAACTTAATATTTAGCAATTTTTCCTGCCGTCGAGTATTTTATTTTACAACAAAAAATGTAATAGACTTTCAATTAAATTTGAACTACTCATATTTGCAAAATAATAATATGAACAACACAGGAAGACTTTGCAAACTATAATACATTTAGATATGAAAACATTGTTAAAATAAGAAAAAAAAGGAATGCTATTAAAACTAGAGACTGTGTAACAGAAATTAAAAATTTCTATCCTCGAATAAATCGTTCAGCGTGTATAAATGATTTAGGATTGGAAAGTGTATGCTAATAACGTTATTATTCGAATTGTCACGAGCATAGCACCGTTTGAAAAAGGTGAAAAGCGATTGGAAACGGGTTTAGGGAAGGGCGCCAGTACAAACAATATTTTCGATATGCTAATAATCGCGGGCATGAAGTCCGGATATGTTTGTAGGACTGTGATCCCAAATATTCATGCAACATTCATGAGATATCGTACGTATCACTTCACCCTTCCAGTTCCCGTGCAGTAAATCCTTGTCATATCGTATCTCTCCGTTTTCAAGCATTAAAGAACCGCCTCGCGACCGTTTCTTTAAAAGTGTGATTTTTCTTATGCTGATTTACAAACGCGCTACTTTACCGTAGACGAGCATTAATGTAGGAACGCAAAACAGATACGACGGGCGTGATAAAAAATAGGACAAATCGAGACGGAGAGAGAGAGAGGAATGATAGGGACGAATGGATTCTCCGGGAAAAGAATTTGAAATACAGAAACGTGTCAGTGGAGAATGTTTGGATAAAAGCGAATGTAGAGGTAAAATCATGAGAGACACAATATTTCATACAGATGTAACAATAAGAATCGTTTGAATAATATTTCAACGGAAGTTTTAATTTTGTATATTCGCGGAAGGAAGATTTTGTGTGAAATGGATGGAAATATTAAGAGAGGAAGTGGAAGTGTTTAAATTAATATGATTTTTACAGAATTACGAAGGGTTTTTCCAACAGTAGGAGATAGTTTTCACGTTGGAGAAAATTTAAGTCAGACTTGGGAGATGTAAAAGTGAAGTTTTTGCAGGATTTATGGCAACGATTCTAGGATATCTATCGTGAGATAGAAATGGAAATGAACGCGTTTGAATATTGCAAACTTCTTTGTGACAAAGTTCTGAAATGTGTATTTAAGTGAGAAAAAAATGTGAAGGTTTTATTTCATTGTCTATCAAGATTTCTTATTAACTTTTGTGGCCTATTAATAGCTATCGAAGCTTCGTTATCCTTTTCTTCAGTACTCTGTGTATTAAAATATCAAAACTAAGAAAGTAACTTAAGATTAAAAAATACTTAAACATCTTAGTAAATAACTATTTAATTTTCGCTTTTCTAAACAAGTGTCCAGAAAAAACTGCTTATTCCATTTAACTATGTAAAAGTATACCTTTCTGAAAAATGAAGACTAAACGCTGGTATATTTTAAGTTACTTGCAATTCATTTTTCTTTACTAAACTTGACAATATTCCTACCACAAAACGAAAAAGAAACTTCTTACTTTCAGTTTTTAACAATATTTGCTTCTGCGTTGAATTACATAATTAATCAACATATTATACAAACAGAACGTTTCACTGAAATGAAATAACTTTGCGATGTATTTAAAAAGAAAATCTGCAAATGTACAATTTGCAATTTGAATTACCGGGCGGGGTATTCCGTGGAAGTTGACGCTGTGAAAATAAACGGACGAGTTTGAAATTTTACATTAACCGGCGATACAGATTGCGCAATGGCGTGGTTGATTATTCGCGGCACGCCTTTGAAGCGTCTACGTTTCACGCGTCGCGTGGCAGCCAACTAATTACGTAAACAACCCAATGAATTTGACAAACAATAAATTAATACTCTTTGTATTCGGTAATTAACGTGATATCGATTAATTAAAATAACGTACGTCAACGGGTAAACGATAATCGGGCCCAGGGGGTGGCTGGTACGATTTTCCCCCGGTTTGCAAAAACCGACGAGAATCGAAGGACTGTGCAAAAAGAAACCCGGTGCCCCCGTGTGTGTTTCTTCGCAACTTAACCTCCACCGACAGAAACTCGAAAGCTGAAACTCTAGAGCTTGAAGATAACTCCGCTCCAGGCAAACCCTGAATTTCGCATTTGTACCGCGTTGTCGAGCTTACGACCCTGCAAATAGTCGTCTGTTTATCCACACGAAATTTACGACTCACCGTGAAAATATATTTTCTCCAGTTTCTACGTAGGTACGTGAATATACAAGTATATACGGCGCGGAGTCTAAGTGGAGGACGAGTTCAACAGAACGTTGCCATTCAGAATCTCTTGCGAACCATTAAAATTCGCGACACACTGATATTAGACGCAGAGAGAGAGAGAGAGAGGCGGTATTAGGGAAATAAATAGTATTAGTTAAACAGTATTCGCGATGTTTCTGGGCGGGGATATTATTCTTTTGACACTTCTTTTTATGGAAATATCGGAAATACGCGGGGAATCATTCTTTAGGAGTCTGACTCGACGGTGAATTTCGTTCCAGTTAGTTATTGTGCCGAGATTGCCTCGGCGTAGGAAGTTTTGCTTGCAGATATCGTACAATGTATGAATTGTGAATTATAAACAGTAATAAACCATGTTTTTTGTATATTAATGTGACAGTTGTGAAGGCAAAGAGGAAGGTATCGTTCGAAAGTTGCAAAATCAGTGTAAACTAGCGAAAGTAACTTTAAAGTGAAATAAAGATATACAATTTTCGTCATAGAAAATGTCAATGAACTATTTTTATGTATTTTTGAACAGTTTTACATAATATCTAAAACTTTCTGTGATAATATTGTAGAAATGGGAGGTTTGAGTATAATTTCCGCTGTTCAGTAGTACAGGTCAACGAGAAGTCAGACTACATTCTTCTATGTACTTGAATTGCAGTTAATAAAGCAATTAAATTGTGAAATATGGGATGAAATAGCGCTAGTAACCAAGATGTCGATGCAACCTTAAATTATATTTCTTATAACATTGTGCAAATGGGAAATAGGATGTTAATTTCCACCGTTCAGTAGTACAGCTCAATGAGAAGTCTGACCGTACTACTTGAATTACATTCGATAAAATTATTAAATTGTGAAATATAGAATAATCGCCAGTCATGGTCGCTAATAAACACGATGCAACCTTAAATAAAATTTAAAAAAAAAATGTATTAAAGATGTATTATTTAGGAAATACTGTAAAATTGAAATTACTCACTCAAAGCTTGTAGAATTGTTTATTAGATGTAAACTTCAAATGAAGTTAGATTTAAATGATGTATCACAAATTAACGAGCACAAAGTGAAGGATTTGAAAAATTAAGTTTACAATAATACGTAAACGCGACCAACAGTGTTATGTCATATATTAGGATCGATATAGACACGTCAATTTAGGATTCATTTGGATTGGATTTACCTCGGAATTCATGGACGGGTAGTTACTCACTGGCTGAGTTTCCTGGTTACCATGATTATCGCTGCCAAAATCATAATCAGAGATACATACCGCTAGAATGATAAGAGCAACGATAGAAATTAGATTTCATGAAATTCAGTTGTGTGGAACATTTCAAGCTTTTCGAGTTCTATAGTTATATATCTGGAAATTTGCATACTTTCATCATTTGTATCTTATCCTTACAAATAATAATTGTACATTTATAGAACTTCTCTTGACTGTGATATCAATCCATATTCAAGGATAATTCGTTATACAGAGTGTCTTGTGACACGTGGATATGAAAATAGTAAAAAAAAATTATATTATATTAAAAATTACAGGAATTAAGAGTCAATTAATTCCTGTTCATTTTTCCCACTTTTCCCTGTTTACCGAGTATATGTACACTTGTCGTTGTATCGTACACTCTCTCTACTTTATTATCTTTTTCTTGCAGCGTCACTGTGCGACATGGTTTTCAATAGTGACTTAACGAAAACAGGAGTGGTCACGTCGCCAGGATATCCGAATCCTTATTCACCGAGGACACACTGTACATACGACTTTCAGGGACGAGGCAAGGAACGAGTTCAAGTAGTGTTCCAGGATTTGAACTTGCACCATACGTCGAACGGGGAAAATGGGTAAGTTCACTATTCGTTAGATTTGTAATTAAGTTCGCGACTTCAACGCCTTTTCGAACGAAATTATACATATATATCAATATTGAGATAGAAAAAATTTCAAAAAAAGGAAATTAGAAAAAGTTTCAAAATAATTGTAAAATTAAGAGCTTTCGAGTGATATACGGATCAAGAAAAATAAATTTATTGTGAATAATAAAAGAAGTTACAAAACATAATTTAGTGAATTTAGTTGCTAATCTAATACTAATTATATCTCCCTTTGTTCGTATATTTACCTGATTCGTCCAAAAAGACACAAAAACTTAGGTACATAAATAAAACTTCGAAAAATATAGAGAATCCTTTAATTTCTTCTTCTTGTGGTCAATAATTACTCAAACCTATTACATTAATTTAGTCGTCATTGTAATTAATTTTTGACAGATACTTTTCTAATTAATAAAAGTGAAAGTCTTCAAAGATCTCAGCAGCTTGATAAAACAGCAGAATCCTCTTTTGCACGTAGATCGATCAACCGAAAACAATAAATCCCGATTGAACGAACGAAAAGGAAAACGAACGAACGTCACAGGCAAACCTAAAAATAACTTGGAAAGTGAATAAAGCAAACAAAGTTTTGTGACAGGATTAAAGGCGACGAGGAAATATAGGCGCCTGTATCATTCATTTGAATCGACGAAATGGGATCCGATGTTTCCTTCGAAAATGTAGCAAAAACTGTCACACGTGCTGACACAATTTTCTGCAAACACTTCACAATAAAAAATCCAACGTGAATCACAGAACGACGTTAAACTCTTCGATCAACTCGACTCAACAATTGATAAACTCTTCCGAACTCGACGTAACACTGCACCGGAAGAATATTCAATAAACAACAAGCACCTTCAGATCTACGACGTATACAGCCGGTGCAGAAAACACTATCACAGTTTCATAGGTGCAACAATGGATGTTCAGAGTTGTATTGATGTGTTACGAGATAATTTATCACAGAGTGGAACTGAATTGATTCTGCTCTCGGCAGAATCGATCTTAGGCACACTAAGAAAACAACAAAAGTGTCTAAGCAATTGCTATATCACCGCAATCTTCTGGAGACATTAAGCTGGTGAAAAACTTTCAAAAATTGTTAAATTTGCAGATTAAAAATCGAGAAAATAAGCTACGATCTAGTTAAATTGCGAGCTAAATTTGAGAAACGAATGGTATAGACGAAGAGCCAAGATGAGTTATACGATTGTGGCTATTTCTGAATGGCTAGAGGCTCAAGATAGAGTTTGCATAAAATTAGAATAATTTATGGTACTGGCACTGCAGCTGTCGCAAAGACTGTTACACAACAAGCACTTAAAATTGTCTATAGTGACCCTAATAAGAAATACATTATTCCGACCGCAGTTGCTTGTAACGACGATGTGAACGTTGACGATCTCCAAACTATTCGACAATTGAAAAAGGAAGACCGAAATGCAATTATTCTTACACAGAATTCATCTCGTAACGAAAGGAAACCGCAAGTGGTCTTGAAAAATAGAAAAATTCAAACACAAAATTTCCATATACAGCAACCTAATTTTTGTCCTCTAAAATTTAGAACAAAAATTGTGTTTTTCTGGCAGAAGGATGAAACTATTATCTGTGAAGACATTGCAACTGTCGCAAAGACTGAAGCACATAATCCTTTAAAATCAGAGCTTAGTTGCTAAATAAAATTGCTGAAATTTTTTAAGACTAACATATTGAATATTAAATATTGAAATGAAATAGTTATATTCGTTAATGTATTTTTATATTATACAAGACATTGTAACAAATCATTAGAACTTGGTTCTATCAAACTATTTCCCTGCTTAGACCTCTAACATATGTTAAACAATTCATGGATGTCCATGGACCTGCTGCCCCAGAGAATACCAGCTTTAAGGCTGTCTCTGTTAATTATTTACCATGTGTTAAGCAATAACGTTGCTTCCTAGTCGCCTCTAAAGCTGTCCACAGAGACCCCAACAAAAAATACGTTATTCCAACCGAAATTGCTAGCAATAACGACGAAACTAGAGGTCGAAGACCTCTTTCCCGGTATTTGAGAAATGAGAAACATTGGGAACAATTGTCAGTGGCGCTCATGAACGTTAATTTAACGGCATCGCGGTGATAATGGGAGAAAGAACTCTTGGCTGATTGGTGTGTGCGCTGTTCGCGTGGCGTTTTCAACGTGCAATCAAAAGGCTATGTAGAATTTGGCAACCGCGATCCTGAGCTCTGCTTGACGTACCTTCAAATACAATTTGCACGAAGTGCATCGAGTGGCAGTGGCCGAATTCCGCCATTAGTGTGCCGATTGATCGACGAGTTCGTTCCGTTGTCCGACGACGAGAATCGGACGTTCCTGGAATTCTGCTTGTTCTTGTGCAAAGCACGGGAACGGACAGTTGTGATCGATTTCACGAGCGCACGTGTGCATCGTATCTAAAGGATTGCGTGTATCGTGACAATGCGTGCACATGGACCGTTTCTCCGGACGATATCCACGATTTTTCTCTCTTTTTTTTCCTTGTTTCCTTCGTTTTTCGGCCACTTACGCTGATTGGGAAGCGTAATGTACGGAATTACTTGGCGTGAAATTGTCAATTACTTATGACAGCTAGAATTTTAGGATTTCACAGGCAATGGGTTTTTCAGGAATTTTGGGAGATTCAGGAGACAGAAAATCAAAGTTTTTACTCTCTTTTAGTGTTGGTGTTTAATTGTCAGTTACTTATGGCAATTAGAATTTTAGAAATGCAGGTTGTAGTAGGATTTTATGGAACGCGAGGATATTCTTTGGTATCTGGGAAAAACACACAAAAGGTTTATTTATCTTTCGTTGATACATGTTAAATGTTTGGTACAAAATAATTTCGAACAAATCAATGCAGTGTTCGAGCTGTTGCTTTTGCTTTCGAGCGTCCGGCTTTAAGCAGCCGTACTCTCCCGTTACAATATTAGCGAAACGGATAAAACGATTTATAACACTTACTGTGGGAAGCGTCCGGTGAGCCTCCTGTACTCTACTCTCTGGAAGGCGTCCGGCGGATAGTCCAGTCGTTCTTTCCATTCCAGGAGCGACCCAGGTATAGCTCTCGTACTCTCCTATCACAGTATTCAAGTGATACGCGTATGATCGGAGAGTCCACCCGCACTTCTCCTGGTAGGCGACCGGCGGATAGTCCAGCCGTTCTCTCCATACCACCAGAAGTACTAAGCAATCCTCTCCGAGCTTCCTCAGGCGTCCGGGTAACCTCCCTGTACTCTCCTCTCTCAGAGGCGACCGGTGGATAGTCCAGCCGTTCTCTCCTCCAGAGAGTGACCCAGGTGTCAGTCCCCGTACTCTCCTGTGCTGCAAGGGCGTCCGAAAGCTGGGCTCCGTACTCTCCCACTCTGAAGGGCGACCTCTCTCCCAGCAGAGCACAGCAAGAATGCCTGGCCGCGGCCGCGGCCCTGGTATTTATACTTGAGCGTTGCTAATGAAGCGCGGCTTCGCTAAGACGCGTCGCTAAGTGGTTTCCCGCGCGAAATCGCGGATCGCGAGCTAGTTTGTTCTGGAAGCTCCTATCGCTTCGCGATTATTTGATTGACGACGAGGATAGAGAGTCGTCTCTCTCACTTCCTCTCGCGGAATGGAAATTTTTGTCGCCGTCTTCGTTGATGGTTGTTACAAGGTGAAAATCAAATTTTTCCCTTCCCTTCAGTGTTGGCGTTTAATTGTTAATTTGTTACCACAATTAGAATTTTAGATACACAGCTTTTTAAAGAAATTTAGAGTATTCAGAAGATACAGGATAATATAATTTTTCTCCTCCTATTCAGCGTTACTCAGGAGACCAAAGTAAATTTGCTAGTAAACACTATTTGGTACGTTTAATTAGTGAACATAATTACAATTAATCTGTTTCTCATATTTGTCTTCCAAAGGTTAACATTTCGCTATTCTGTTTAATATGCTATTAGTAAATTGACCTGTAATATTATACGATTAATATGGAATACTAATATCGACTGCCTTCTTGTTTAATTCGCCAAATATCGCAAACTTTCATTTTTAATCCACGTCTTCTTCATTCCTTACGTATTATTTCTTTTTATCGAAGAACAAATTAATGCAATATAAATTTAAATAATTTCAAAATTGGTTTGCAAATCTATCTTTGATTCTGTGAACTTTCTTCGATGATTGACATCTTCTTTGAAACATCCTACACGATATTTCTTTTTCAAATTATCACAAGTAACTAATGGAAATAAAATAATTGCAAAAATCGTGAATATCATTACTGTGATACATCTCGTGCATTCAAGACCGAATTGTTTGTTCCTTTGAAGCTTACTCGTTGCATCGCGCGGAACGCAACGAATTCAATCAAATTCAGAAAACTGATAAAACACCGAAAAAAATTGAACGGTCGAATAAAATAATATTTTCGTGATTTAAAGAGTGGTCAATTTATATGGAAAATATCTCTGCCGTTTCATTTATCGCTGTTTGATGGGAGTTTTAATTATACGAACATACTAGCAGAATGTAATTAAAAAATGCAAATAGATGGTGCAAACCGAGTCGATGCTGATACAGTTGCTTTAATGATAAATCTGGACTTTTAATTACGCGTTGCGTTTAATATTCGAACGAAACGCGAAGACATTAATGTATTATCTTGTACATGTGAACTCGGAAAATAGCACAGGCTAATCTATCGGATGAAAATGTTACAGGCGTGGTTAAATCGTTGCTTTCTAAAACAAATTTTGTTATTTTTAAAACCGTGGAAGCTTTAATTTGCACCTTGAAAAATTCCTTTGAAATGAATTTCATTCGTGAAATAAAATTCCATTGATGTATCGTGTAAATGAGATTGAAATGAGTTATTTTCTAATTACTCAAATATGTGAAACACCTATGTTTTTTTTATAAAGAGCTAGGAGATCTGTGACAAGCTACAAATTAAGAACAAACC